TACTGAACTTTTGAAAAAACATATAGGAAATAAGATAAGAAAGTATGTTAAAAGAGCGCTTTCAGATAATGTTGGATCATATTTCAATCAAAAGCTATCCTAAACTACTTTAACTAATTACATTTTTCTAGACACGAATTCTTTTACATGTTTGCACCTAATGTTAATAAATTTGAAATTGCCTAATAATCTATTTCTTGTAAAAATACAAAAGAAATCGTTTTTCTAGCGAGAAAATATTTTATGTATAAAAGCTGGTCCTTGTTTTCAGATTCTTGAAGGCTTTCCTGTATGTCTTTTATCTACATTGTTGGTCTTTGATCTGGAATTATAGAAATTTCAAATTGGTAATCTGGAAGGTTCTTAATGTACAAAGCTGGTCCTTGCTCATGGATTCTGGTCCTTGATTTGGCAGTTCTTGCAGACTTAATACACTAAGTTGGTCCTTGCGATGGGGACTCTTTCAGGCTTTAACGCAGAAAGTTTGTCACCAATTTAGTTATCCTGGAAGGCTGCCAATGTACAAAGTTGATCCTTGTTTGAGATTTGGAAGGCTTATACTCTCAAACTTGGTCTATGATTTGAGATTTGGAAGGCTTATACGCTCAAAGTCGGTCCTTGATTTCAGATTTGGAAGGCTTACACGCTCAAAGTTGATCCTTAATTTCAGATTTGGAAGGCTTATACGCTCAAAGTTGATCCTACAGATCTAACAGGCTTTCAGACAGAAAGTAAGTCATTGATTTGAGAGTCTGAAAGGTTGTACAAATTTGGTTCTTGGTTTAGGGATTTTAATTATAGAACACAATGATTATACACATGGTTATATTTTGATTTGATTAATTTTATTAATTGTGTTACAATTGTGGAAACGACAAGCCCTCAGTTAACTCGAGAAACAATCTTAAAGGTTTTAGTTATTATGTTAGTCGTCCTTGAATATGGATTCAAAAACTGAGAGTTCTGGAAAACCAACCAGCAGATTTTAGTCACTGGATAGTTTACAAATTTATGTATAAGAGACAATTGCTTACAATTAATCAGATTATAATGACTCATCAATCATTATACGCCTTTGAAGTATATCAGAATGACCACACTGAAATTTCATTGGATAAAATTATTTTTAACCAACCACAAGCAAGCTTTTAGCAACTGAATAAAAATTCAGTCCAATCGACACTGATGGGTGCCAATTGGTCTAATCAGTCGGAAGGGTCAGGGTATATTCGGAATTACTTGTCCAAAAATGGGTAAAAATCAGCATACTTTGAGTCAAACTAATTTTAATCAGAAAGCTGCTAATGATATTGTGAGTTTTCACAAGATTTTTTAGAGATCATTTGCTTCAGAAATATGTAGCTAAATACAATATTTTGCTATCCTTCTGTGCGAAAGTCTCTATTTAGACATCATTAGACATCATTTTGGAGTGCAAAATGTGTTGAATTCCGGTCACCTTCCGGTTTGACTTTACTCCCAGATGCACTTTCCTTCGGCGGATGTCGTACATGTACATGATATGCCAAATTGAAGCAGGGAACGTAAATGGAAGGGTAAAAAACTCATTTGAGCATTTCAAATAAACAAATTAATTTCAGCAATGTCCGAACATATATTTTGTAGTACATGTAATGTTCTATTATTAGCAGATTTATCGGTATATTTTCATGTAATGTACACTTTTTTCTATAGCGCAACCATTATATCAAAGTCAATGATATGCCTGTTTCAGAGAAGTCAGACTTTCTTTTTTTTTAGAAAATGAACACCGACGCAGAATTTAGTGGCGCAACCAGCAATCACCTATGTTACTATTGCTACATGATCGTTTATATGGTAGGGAAAGCTAAAACTTTCTTAGTCAAAATCTTAATCTCGAGGGAATTTAGCAAGAAAAACATTTGTCACAAATGAGGTCTATGGAGAGAAATTTCCAGACATCTGAAAGCCAAGATGTTGATCTCCAGTCATTTCAACGACTTAGAAATCTACGTTACAATATTACATAATGAGTGAGGTCAATCACTGCCTGTCCACATTTGAAGGGACAAGTCCAACATACATTTGACCAATCGTACCTTTGTCTCAAAAACGGGAATTTTTAATTTAATACTCTGCCATACTTGCATAGAAAAAGAAAGTGAAATTTCTAGTTTGAAGTATATTTGAATGGATTATGAGATTTTTTTTGCAGTTCTGAAGAGCATTTAAATATATTCAAGACCCATATCAATCCCCGAAAACGGCGAATCGTGGCCTTTAATAGATAAACATACGAAGATAATAATGTACAATGATAATGATATCACCTATATGTTTAATATGACTTTCTGTGTCACCTAACAATACATCTCATTAATTATAGACTACCTTATAGTAATAGGTTTCTGTGTGTATAGTAATTAAAAGGTAATATAGACATTTAGTTGGGATGCTAATTTCAGCCATTGTTCTCAATGCCATGACAGTGACACAGGTGTATTAAACAACACACTCAGGTTCCTAACAGTTATTGTAATTAAGAAACATGATAATAAGCTACTTGTGGTCTGTTATTTGATTTATTTCGTATCCTGGACATCAATAAAATCTTCCCTGAAGTTGATATCAGGCACTGTCACGGTATTCTTTTCTACTTGGTTGGTCTTCAAATGGATACAGCCGTCCAAATAATTTTCTTTTTTTTTCTTTTACCACATGGTAGATCCCTGTAACACTTTTCAAAACAAAGCCATCCCTGAAAGTGATGCCAGATGTTGTCACAATACTTTTCTACTTGCTTGATTTTGAAGGGATATGCTCTTCTGAATATTTTTCTTTTACCACATACAAGATCCCCGTGACATTTTCAAAACAAAAGCTTTCCTGGAGTTGATACAAGGTATTGCCGTCACAATAAACAGTATTATTTTCTATTGTTTTAGATTAAAGGGTGTAGTCGTCTGAATATTTACTTGGTAGATCACCTTAAACCTTCCAGAATATGAAACTTCGATGCCCGGTAACCCTCTAACAAAAAGCCCTTCCGACAGAATCACAGAAGGAAGGAAGCCTATCATTTCAACATGCATGCTGCTAAAAAAGAAACCACCAAAAGTTTTCTGATTTAATAAATCTTCTTTTCTCTTTCTTCGAACTGTACTTTTACGTTTCTTTGGTAATCTGGCAATGAAAAGTACAGTCTAAGACAGCAAACAGATAGCCGCTGGACATACAGAGCTGCAGACAATCCATTCCAGTCTCATGATCGGTCTAAACAATGTCGTGTTTTTTGGGTTTGTTTATTTCGATCAGAAATGCTAATAGTGAAGGCAGGCTACTACGTTCATTTATTCTATGATAACAGGTGTGTGTATGGTGCTAATTAGACGTCTACAATTTCTGTCTTAAGGCCGATATCACAACGATAGAATTGGCTTTTTGTCGATATCTTAAGAAATATTGATTTTAATGTGGTCCATTGCTTATTATTACATTCGATTGAATGTCGTTCCATATCGTTTATCTGAAATTTCAAGACTTTTATGTCCAACTGTTTTGACTGACAGAGAGGGACAATTTGGACTAACAGAGAGGGACAGTTTGGACTAACAGAGAGGGACAGTTTGGACTAACAGAGACGGACAATTTGGACTTACAGAGAGGGACAATTTGGACTAACAGAGAGGGACAGTTTGGACTAACAGAGAGGGACAGTTTGGACTAACAGAGACGGACAATTTGGACTTACAGAGAGGGACAGTTTAGACTAACAGAGACAGTTTCGTTTCTATTTGATTTGTATTAATTAAACATAATAATATATATATTTTTTTATTATTTAATATGTTTTTTTTTAAATGCTCAACTATTTGATTTTTTCTGAAATAATTTTTACAAGGGTGTGAATAGAAATCAAGAATATGTTTAATTTTCAATTGTTCACATACTTATTTTACTTACTATCTATACATTTATATTACAAACAATTATATATACATTTCTTTTTTTTTTGTAAATATTTACATATTTATTTTATTTCTGAAATTTATGTATTGATATTTCCACTATTTATGTACATATGTATTGATTTGTTTTTAAAAATATCTATATAATGGTTATTTAAATATGTATATATTGTTGTTTTAAAATATTCTAAAAAATTTAATTTTTCTAAATAATTGATTATATTAGATTTTCTAAATATATATATATATATAAAAATTGTAATATATTTATACTTATTTTTCAAAATATATCTTGATTTATTTTTTTAAAATAAGTTTTGATTTATCGATTTATCGATTTATTTTTTAAACATATTTTGATTCAATTTTTGATCATATCTTAATATATACATATATGTAGACTTTTTTCCAAATTATCATCTATATATTTCTTTAAAAAACCAATATTCTAAATATTGATTTATTCAAATACATGTTTTGTTGATATATTTGTCTATTATTTTAATATTTTTCTAAGTATGCATATATATTTTTCATTATTCCAATTTAGATTTTTCCTCTTTTTTTATCATTTTTTTTTTAATATTTACTTGTTTTTCATAATATGCATGAATTTTTCTAAATATTCGTACATGGGATTTTTAAATATTAATACTTTTAATTTTTCCTAATTTCTATATATTTATTTCCTAATTATTTATTCCATGTTATCTATTTTAAATATGTATATATTTTTATCTATATATTCATACATCGAATTTTTAAATATTCATATTATTGATCTGTCTTAATATCAATTTTTTTTTCATGATATTCCAATCTTTGTTTTTTCCTCTTTTTCTAATAAAATTTTTTTTAGAAAATTTATTTTGTCTTTATTACAATATATTAATATCAATATATTAATTACGTCGTTATATATCTGATATTTTATACGATTTTTTTTTATTTACCTTGTTATGGGTCATATCTTATATTTACCTTGTTATATATCTGATATTTTACCTAGATTCATATGTGATACTTTACCTAGCTATGTAATATGTGATATTTTACCTAGCTATATATCTGATATTTTACCTAGTTATATATCTGATATTTAACCCATCTCAATATCTGATAGTTTACTTAGTTACATATTTGATATTTTACCTAGCTATATATCTGATATTTTACCTAGTTAAATATCTGATATCTTACCGTGTTATATATCTGATATTTTACCTAGTTATATATCTGATATTTTACCTAGTTATATATCTGATATTTTACCTAGTTATATGTCTGATATTTTACCTTGTTATATGTCTGATATTTTACCTTGTTATATATCTGATATTTTACCTAGTTATATATCTGATATCTTACCTAGTTATATATCTGATATTTTATCTAGTTATATGTCCGATATTTTACCTAGTTATATGTCTGATATTTTACCTTGTTATATATCTGATATTTTACCTAGTTATATGTCTGATATTTTATCTAGTTATATATCTGATATCTTACCTTGTTATATATGTGATATTTTACCTAGTTATATATCTGATATTTTATCTAGTTATATATCTGATATTTTATCTAGTTATATGTCCGATATTTTACCTAGTTATATGTCTGATATTTTACCTTGTTATATATCTGATATCTTACCAGCTATATATCTGATATCTTACCTTGTTATATATCTGATATTTTACCTAGCTATATATCTGATATTTTACCTAGTTATATGTCTGATATTTAACCTAGCTTATATATCTGATATTTTACCTAGTTATATATCTGATATTTTACCTAGTTATATGTCTGATATTTTACCTTGTTATATATATCTGATATTTTACCCAGCTATATATCTGATATTTACCTAGCTTATATATCTGATATTTACCTAGCTTATATATCTGATATTTAACCTAGATTCATATCTGATATTTTTCCTAGGTATACATCTGATATTTTACCTAGTTATATATCTGATATTTTACTTAAGTATATATCTGATATTTAACCAATCTAAATATCTTATATTCAACCTATCTAAATATCTGATATTTTACCTAGTTACATATCTTATATTTAACCGATCTAAATATCTGATAGTTTACCTAGTTATATATCTGATATTTTACCTAGTTATATATCTGATATTTAACCAATCTAAATATCTTATATTTAACCTATCTAAATATCTGATATTTTACCTAGTTACATATCTGATATTTAACCAATCTAAATATCTGATATTTTACCTAGTTACATATCTGATATTTTACCTAGTTATATATCGAATATTTTTCCTAGGTATATAATCTGATATTTTACCTAGTTATACATCTGATATTTTACCTAGTTATATATCTGATATTTTACTTAAGTATATATCTGATATTTAACCAATCTAAATATCTTATATTTAACCTATCTAAATATCTGATATTTTACCTAGTTACATATCTTATATTTAACCGATCTAAATATCTGATAGTTTACTTAGTTATATAATCTGGTATTTTACCTAGTAACATACATGTATCTGATATTTTTATCTGTTTTTGTTTTTACCTAATGAAGTGCAATGATTTAGTCCGTAAAACTCTATTTTACATACTTATTCCATACTAATCTAGGAATATTTAAGCATAACTTGAATCATGTTGTTACTCAGTTTCAGGCTATGCGATCTTCAGACAACTGTCACTCTGATTTACGTAACTATGTACAATATCAGATACAATAATAAAATATTTATATGCTCAATACAATTTGAGAGCGATATGGAAACATCAGATATAATCATGTATATGAAATGAAATGGAATTTTACCTATAACATTTTTGCACCTGATTGGTCGAATAAAGAGCTTTATTTTTAAATGGTTATTTTGGAGGGCAAGTGGTGTTATTTTCTAGACATGTGTTGAATCAATGGTTTTACTTCTATGGAAAGTTATCTAAACACATCCTTCATATAGACCTGGAAGAAAAGAAAACTTTTAGAATATATTGCATGTTCTATATGCTAGATCAAATCGTTGAAATGAGATTTATGCTTCTATTCAAAGAAACTAACATTAAATCAATAAATCTCAACATTATGTCAAACTGTTAAGATGTCTAAGAATGTATTATTAATGGCTTGAGAATTGGCCGGATCAAAACACCACCAGGCAACTTTCTAGTAAAGTTACCAAATCTATGGGATTTCAAATTAGTAAATAAAAATAGTAACCAATAATGAAGATGCAAATTCATTAAGTTAAATAAATTGATTTCAAAAGTTTAAAATTAGCTGTATGTTAGAATTAAATGTTAAATTCAAGGGAGGATTAAACACATCGTTAAACGAGGACGTTATCATTCTATATAATCTGCGTTTAAGTCAAACACTGGGTTTATCATTCTAAATAGTCTGTGTTTAAGTCAGCATTTTAAATAGTCTGTGTTTACAGTCCGAGTTTAAGTTGTTATTCTAAGAGCCAGTTTGTGTTTAAGTTTAACAGTGGACGGTACCATTCTTAACGGTTTGTGTTTAAGTTAAAAAATAGGTGTTTATCATTCTTACTAGCCTGTCTTTAAGTTAAACACTGAGTGTTATCATTCTAAATAGTCAATGTTTAAGTTTAACACTGGGCGGTATCATTCTAACTAGCCTGTCTTTAACAATGGGTGTTTATCATTCTCACTAGCCTGTCTTTAACACTGGGTGTTTATCATTCTAACTAGCCTGTCTTTAACACTGGGTGTTTATCTTTCTAACCAGTCTGTCTTTAACGCTGGGTGTTTATCATTCTAACTAGCTTTTCTTTAAGTTTAACACTGGGTGTTTATCATTCTAACTAGCCTGTCTTTAACACTGGGTGTTTATAATTCTAACTAGCCTGTCTTTAAGTTTAACACTGGGTGTTTATCATTCTAACTAGCCTGTCTTTAATTTTAACACTGGGTGTCTATCATTCTAACTAGCCTGTCTTTAAGTTAAACACTGGGTGTTATCACTCTAAACAGTCTGCGTTTAAGTTACCATTCTAAATAGTCTGTGTTTAAGTTACCATTTTAAATAGTCTGTGTTTACAGTCCGAGTTTAAGTTGTCATTCTAAGAGCCAGTTTGTGTTTAAGTTTAACACTGGACGGTACACTTCTTAACAGTTTGTTTAAGTTAAATACTAGGTGTTTATCATTCTTACTAGCCTGTCTTTAAGTTGAACACTGGGTGTTTATCATTCTATCCAGTCTGTCTTTAAGTTTAACATTGGGTGTCTATCATTCTAATTAGCCTGTCTTTAAGTTAAACACTGTGTGTTATCATTCTAAATAGTCAGTGTTTATGTTTAACATTGGGTGTCTATCATTCTAATTAGCCTGTCTTTAAGTTAAACACTGTGTGTTATCATTCTAAATAGTCAGTGTTTAAGTTTAACATTGGGTGTCTATCATTCTAACTAGCCTGTCTTTAATTTTAACACTGGGTGTTTATCATTCTAACTAGCCTGTCTTAAGTTAAACACTCGGTGTTATCACTCTAAACAGTCTGCGTTTAAGTTACCATTCTAAATAGTCTGTGTTTAAGTTAGCATTTTAAATAGTCTGTATTTACAGTCCGAGTTTAAGTTGTCATTCTAAGAGCCAGTTTGTGGTTAAGTTTAACACTGGACGGTACCATTCTTAACAGTTTGTTTAAGTTAAATACTAGGTGTTTATCATTCTTACTAGCCTGTCTTTAAGTTTATCACTGGGTGTTTATCATTCTATCCAGTCTGTCTTTAAGTTTAACATTGGGTGTCTATCATTCTAACTAGCCTGTCTTTAAGTTAAACACTGGGTGTTATAATTCTAAATAGTCAGTGTTTAAGTTTAACATTGGGTGTCTATCATTCTAACTAGCCTGTCTTTAATTTTAACACTGGGTGTTTATCATTCTAACTAGCCTGTCTTTAAGTTTAACATTGGGTGTTTATCATTCTATCTAGCCTGTCATTAAGTTAAACACTGGGTGTTATCATTCTAAATAGTCAGTGTTTCAAGTTTAACACTGGACGGTATCATTCTTAACAATCTGTGTTTAAGTTAAAAACTGGGTGTTATCATTTTAAACTGTCTGTGCTTAAGACAAACACTGGGTGTTTTTCATTCTTACTGGCCTGTCTTTTTGTTAAACACCAGATGTTATCATTCTAATCAGTCTGTGTTTAAGTTAAACACTGGGTGTTATCATTTTAAATAGTTTGTGTTAAAGTTCCTAACAGTCAGTGTTTAAGTTATCATTTTAAATAGTCTGTGTTTAAGGTATCATTCCATATAGTCTGTGATTAAGCTAAACACTTTTTGTTATCATTTTAGATAGTCTGTGTTTAAGCTAAACACTGTTTATCATTCTTAACAGTCAGTGTTTAAGTAATCATTCTAAACAGTCTGTGTTTAAGTTATCATTCTATATAGTCTGTGATTAAGTTAAACATTATTTTAAACAGGTTGTGTGAACATTTATTTTTTATTTATCAAATCGAACATTATCTGTAAAAATTATCATACAATTTACTGCCGACAGCATTATTTGGAGTATTCTTTCTTTTCAAAGGTCTGAACCTCCAAATATAGCCCAAACGATTCGTTAAAATACTCAACTTCAGACACCTCGTGGTACCTTATTGTAATCAACAAAAATAATTCTAGAACGATTTCATGAAATGCCAAATGTTAATGGCATCTCAAATTACAGAAAAGCAAAATGCCATAAAACCGGAATAAAATGCAGGTCTCTGAATTATTAATATATTGTTGCACGAGTACAACACGAAAGTCAATGGCTTACAAATTATAATGAAAAGAAATACGAATTACTAGTTGTAATGATATTAATGAAAAAAATTACGAAAAGTCGTGTCACAGACTCAGACAATTACAATAATTAAACTTTCATTTTTATTATACTCAAAGCTGAAGATTCTCACCATTGTTGCCGTGGAAACCAAGGCAATTACGTGTATTCTCAAGCAATAACACGCTTATATAGTATTATTCACCCAAGAATACTCGTAGTCGGCCAGGCTCTAGTCAAAAATGTCTTATCTGATAGCATGATCAGACCAGCATCACCATCCAATTTTCAGCCATTTTCTTCTGGAATCTTTTTTAGTTGGCATCTTCTGATCATCAGCACCATTTTGTTTCTTAAAGCTTCATAACAAAGAATATGATCAGTCCACGTGGTTTCGTTTGGTTCTTAGTTAGGATGAGCTGTCAACATTATCTCCTTAAGTACATGTTTTCAAAGAGCTATCGACATTATTCTGTATGGTACTTGTTTAGAGCGAAATTACATGGACAAATATTAATGAACATGGTTTCGGCTCAATAGCTCTATAGCTCAACTGTAATTTTGATTAGATAGAGTGGTATGGACATCTCTGATTAGAAAGAGCTATCGACATCGTTTCCCATCTTGTATTCTGATTAGAAAGAGCTATCGACATCGTTACTCAAGTGGTACTTTAGTTATAAAGAGCTATCGACATCGTCTCTCATCTTATACCTTGGTTATAATTAGCTATCGACATCGTACGGAACCTTAGTTAGAAAGAGCCATCGAAATCGTCTCTCATCTTATACCTTGGTTATTAGAGCTATCGACATCGATACTCGTCAGGTACCTTAGTTAAAAAGAT